TAGAGACGGGGTTTCACCATGTTGACCAGGATGGTCTCGATCTCTTGACCTTGTGATCCACCCGCCTCGGCCTCCCAAAGTGCTGGGATTACAGGCTTGAGCCACCGCGCCCGGCCGCAAATCTCTTTTTTATTGGGAAAAACTGATTTGAAAAGTCTCTTAAGGTATTAATGAAAGGACTTCCATTCTTTCATGATTGGGGGCTGTGAGTGATGGCATGATGAATGTCCTTACCTGGCTTGAAAGATTCTTGACTTGTTGGGCGTGAATGATCTCTGGAGTATCAACCACAGAAGTGAAATTGGCTTTCTCCATTTCTGCTGATTGCTTGTACTTAATCTGTAAAAGGACACCCAATAGTTGGGTAAATGTTTACAATGTGCACAACGAACGGTTGTCGGCTTGATTTGATTAAGAGGTGATCCGTATTTCTTTTCCAAGAGGGACTCATTCAACAGACATTTCTTCCTAGTGTGTTCGTAGTTGTATACCAAAGAGTGAGATTCAGCAAGAAAGGTCAAGTCCTAGCTGTTGAGAGACTATCTAGTTGGATGCAGGATGGGGCATGGGTAAGGAGGGATCATCAACAGATAGTAAGACATGGATTGTTTACATAAGAGCTGGGAGGATGACAAGTAAGCAAAAGACCCATATCAACTAGCATTAGACAAGGTAAGATGCCTAAAAGTGGTTCTAAACTTAGGGCTTGAAAGGAGAGAAAGAACTCCCAAGATATTCTAAGCAAGGAATTCTTGGCATCAAATGAGGAGTGGATTGACTCAGAAACAAGGCCAGGATGTCAAGTCTGCCCCAGCTCCAAACAGCTGCTTAGTTCCTCAACTTCTGTCCTTTGCCCTGAGTGTCCCCAGAGCCTATAAACTCAGAAAGGCAGACAGCAACAAGCCTGGCAAAGGGTCCTCCATTCTTTCATTGGGGTGGATTCTTCCAGGCAGATGTTTAACAATGCCATTGTATGCATGTGACTGTCACTGACCAATAAATCAGATGGCAGAGGGACACATCATGTCCTTAAAATCACAACCACTTTCCTGAAAGATTGACATGGAATAGCAGCACTGACCTGACTGGCAATATCAGTAGCATTCCTAGCCCTCATAAAATCTGGAGTTTCATTGGCCATGGCATTCAGGCCTCTTCCTTTGACTTCCAGTTCCAGGTCTCGCTTATATTCTTTCTATAGTAACATTAAAAGAAAAAAAAAGGTACCTAAATTTTACTGCTAGGTAATGAACGTACAGCGTGAATATAAATCCACATAACATGCCACCTCAGTTGTCACAGATAGTGTCTCTTACTACTGTTCACCTTCACTCTTCCATGCAGTAGGATAAAGTGGTGTCTGCAGAAGACCCCTGGAGGAAACTATTCTATGCAAGTCAATATGAGTCAAGAGGCCTCCTTTTGAATACTTTCAGCATTCTCTGCTTAGAAAACTAGCATGTAAAGTACATTGTACATCTGGTTTGGTACATGACCAAGATTACACTTAGGTGCATACCACTCTGGTGTAGTGTTTTTATATAAATGAGCACACCAAATATATCAAGTTAAATAATATTAGATAATAGATTATGATAACCACTACAGAAACGTATACTGTTACAATATCCATTCATCAGAAATTGAGATATATTTTATGTAATAGTTAACAATTATGCTGGATGTGGAATCTGAAAATCAAAAGCTCTTTTTCTCTATTCTCTGTTTTTGTTCTGCTTGTTTTGGTGTGATGTGGCTAACAAAGCAGTGATGTTCTATGAATTATGTGCAGTCAGCCAGCTGTGGGCCTACCTCATTGAGGATCTGAGTGGCATTCTTTGCTCTTAGCATGTCAGGTGTATCTTCCATTTCAGTGAGGCCCTTCCCACGGATGCTTTCCTCTAGATCTTTCCTGTACTCTTTCTATATCATGAAAGAAAAGCAACAATACTGAGAAGAAAGCTCAGATTGATCCTCTTAGGCAAAGGGGAGACAAAAAAAAAAAAAATAACAATTCCAGTTTTTAAAGGGTTCATAGTTTAGTAAGTAAAAAAATGAATAAAGGCAGGGTATAAGCATAATCAGTTAACATTAAATATCAAATAAAAACTTGAAGTTCATAGAATGCTAAGGTAATATTCAAATAAAAAAGTAGAAGAATTAACATGGGTAATAGATTAGGTGGTAGTACCAAACACTTGAGAACCCAGTTTGAAACCCACAGTTAGATGGTGATGCAAATGGTAGGAGGAACACATTAATAAGTGTCATTAGTGCAATTATTTGGATTAAGAGGGAAAGAAAAGACCAAGTGGGCACTACCTCGCTTGCTATTTTGGTTGCATATTTGACATGTAACAAAGCTGGTGTGACCTCCAGGCCAGTCAGGTTTCTGCCTTTAATGGACTCTTCATAATCTTTCCTATATTCTTTCTAACGTAAGTAAGAAGGAAAGACAAGTTAAAAAAAAAATTTTATTACAATTTATCTCTCAGTCTCAGAAAGAAAAAAAAATACAGCATTTTCTATGTATGGGCTCTTAACTTGATCATAGTTCTGCTAATGGTCACACATTTGAAACATGTATGATTGTTCTTGAAAGACTTTGTCTGGAGCAAATGGCCACAAGGAAACTTAGAGGCTGAGACACTTTGATGGGCCCCTCACTCATCAGTCTAACTGGGGCAGGCCCTTCACAGAGCAGGAGGATGGATGCACCATCAAGACTGAATCCTCTGTCATTTCTTCTGAACTTTCCCATACCTTTCTTAAGGTGACAAAAGATTTTATTTCAGAATTACAAGTCAGTGATGCAAAAGGAAAAAAAAAAATCCCAGAAGAAGGAGAGCCTAAGTCTATCAAATGCTAACTTGCTTTTTTTCATAATCATGACCTGGTTTTTTGATATGGGGTCTTGCTATGTTGCCCAGGCTGGTCTGATCTCAAACTCCTGAGCTGAAGTAATCCTTCCACCTCAGGATTCCGAGTAGCTGGTACTATAGGTGTATGCCACCACACTCAGTTTTGACCTATTTTTTAAAAATCACTGAATAGACTAGGTGGGCAGTGAGACACAGAGGAATTCTGCGATTTTGTCCACTCTGCCTCCCTGCCCCATCTTCTCTCCAGTCTCCAGACTTGGTTGACTCACAGAGGGACTTGGGATAGATGTTGGGACTCTACTTTTGTAATTTTGTTATTTTAATGAATTTTAAATTTACAGAAAAGTCACAGGAATAGTATTAAGAAACTCTCATAGATCCTTTACTCAGATTCACCAATTCTTTGAAACCATTTTAAAGTTTTGATGATCAGGCATTCTATCACCAGAAAGCTCTACAAACTGCTACTTTTATTTAAAACCATATCTCTTTGTAGCTGGAGAGAGAGAGGAAAATAGAAATTCCAGATAAACCCATTTCCCATTGAAAACAGACTTCTAAGATTTAAAATAAAATTCCATTATTCTCTACTCTTGGTTAAAAATGGAAAGAAAAAAAATAATGCTTCTGTTTACAATTCTAGAATAAGAAATATGGCATCTTAATTTTTGATTATCTGGGGCCTTGTTAAACGTCTTGATCATGGATGCCCTTCTGTTTGGCTTGGGGCATTCTACTAAGAGTAGAGCATTTCAAGGCCAAAGGGGGGTGTCTGTGCGGAGGGAAGTTTTCATTCATAAAGGAAAATTCAAATTACATTCAGTATAACTTGTTTGTGTTAGGAATAGTTTTCCATGTTCTAATTTTACAAAAATGATTGTTGAAATAAAACATATATGGTAAGTATCAACTACCTAGAGCATTTAAAAAAAAAAATAACTGAACCACAGGATTTCTGAGATGGAGAAGATTTTAGTGATCACATGTTAAGTTTCATCAGCTACCACTTTTGGATGACAGGAAACTGGCTAGGTCGTGGGCAGAGCTTGTGTTCATTAGTGTGACAGAATCATTGTTGTGTGGTGTGTTTTTTTTAGGACTTACCCCACTCTGCATCTGCTGAGACTCTTTGGCAGTGATGTACGTTGGTGTTTCAAAGTCCAGCATGGGCTTTCCTCGTTCTTTTTCATACTTTTCTTTGTATTTCACCTGGTGATAGAAAGCCATGTTAGATATCTCTCCTCTGGTCAATTCCTAGACAGCAGTTTAAGGATAGTACTTTTTAATTGATACATTCTAACTGTTGGATGGCATCTCATTGCCACTCAAAACAGTTTCCTGTTAAGTTTCAGATCCAGAACATTTTTGTTGTTGTCTGGGTGTTGAGGGGATGGGTACCATTACTGTCTGCAAGGCATAATTAGGATTTGGATTCAATTCAAGGAGACAAAAGAATCATTGACAAGAACCGGCTGAGAGAAATGCTGATGTAAGAAAATGCATGGGGAAAATTACCCATAGATGAGGTGGGTCAGTAATTGATGGGTAGCTGTAAACACTTTAAGATTATTAATGCTATCAGCATTAATCAATATTTCTGATAAAAATCCTCAGTTTTTCTTTCATGAGAACATTTATCAGAAACCTGAGGTCTAGATTGAATGGATAACACATGGAGCTTTATAAGTAAACAACTCTATCTGGGTCCTGACTGGTCATATATTTTATGGAGCCAATAAATTGGTATAAAAATGAAAACTACATATTGACTGACTTGTTAAAAAACTTGACATTCTCAAAAGACCCTCAAGGCTGTTGTATACATGCTATTTCCTCATCCTCATAACGTAGTTATTAGGAAAGAGGGGAGCCACATCAATGTTCATACGTGACAGAGAACTGGAAAGACAGAAGCGAAAACCCTCATGCACGCAGCACCTTGATGGCAAGGCACAATCTCCGAGCTCTTGGGTTGTAACAAGATGTTGGAATAAAGACCTGGGGCATGTACTGCTCACAGAAGATACGAAGACATTTCTAACAGGGGACCTAAATAATGGTGAATTTGTGATATAGGAGGTCATGTGATAGCAAGTTCTTTCCTCTGAGGATCTTTAATTATAGTCATGAATTGCTTAACAACTGGGATATGTTATGAGAAAGGCTTTGCATGCAATTTCATCATTGTGTGAACATCACAGAGTGCACTTAAACAAACCTAGATGGTGTAGCCTACCACACACCTACACTACATGGGATAGCCTATTGCTCCCAGGCTAGAAACCTGTACAGTGTATTACTGTACTGAAATCTGTATGCATCTGTAACACAAGAGTAAGTATTTGTGTATTTAGGTATCTCAAAACATATAAAAGGTACAGCAAACATATGATATTAAAGATTTTAAAATGGTACACCTGTATAGCGTAGCTCCATTATAATCTTATGGGACCACCGTCATATGCGGTCTGCCGTTGACCAAAACATCATCCAGTATATGACTGTATCTTACAAATTTAGTTACTTTGTAAATTCCCAGGAATGCTTTCAGTAGATCTGATCATATCACTTCTCTGTTTGAAATCTTGCTGATAATCCTCTGTAGTGTTCCCTAAGCTGGGACATGAACCCATGGGGCATATGGTGATTACTATGGGGGGTTTATCCCCCCATAACACACTCTTTATGCTTCCAGCCCCTGTTAGTACATATACAATTGCATGTATATTTCTCAACTATGGGTAGATGTTGCTATAATGTATAACATAAGAATTTGTTTCAATAAGTTACCAAATTCAAAACCCCTTATATCTGTGCATTTTCTCAAACAATGACTATTAAAAATACACCTATCCTGGAGGGAATCTATGAGATTTTTTTTTCACATTTTTCATACTGTAGATGAATGTGCACCAGGGGAAAAATTGGTCTTGATCCACTTACTATACTCTGTAATTCTGTGGCCTCTTTTAGGTGAAGCTGCTCCAGATTATCAGGTATTGTGTGGTAGTGGCCTTTACTCTTCTCATACTTCTTCTTGTACTGGTACTGAGGGGAAGGAGGCAAAAAAGGCACATCGGTGGAAAAGCTGCTCAGCATTCTTATTTTTCCCCTTTAGATTAGACATTTACACAGCAGCATTGTCAACATCAAACAAAAATTGGCAAACACTAACCAGGATGTTAAAGCTTTAAAAGATGAGAATCCAAGTTCAGTTTTGTCAGTTAAGACGTAAACATGTAGGTTACGTGGTTGGTTCAAAGTAGCTGTTATAAATAAAAGGTTAGAAGTAAAAGAAGCTGTCTACGGCCATACCACCCTGAACGCGCCCGATCTCGTCTGATCTCGGAAGCTAAGCAGGGTCGGGCCTGGTTAGTACTTGGATGGGAGAAGTAAAAGAAGCTATTCCAGAGGGTATTTCTATGTCCTTAGAGAAAATGCGATGGTTAATTGGAGGGGAAAGTTTAAATATTCTAAAAAAGAAGCATTTTTGCATTCCAAGAGATATTACAGTCAATGGAGAATTGGTAGATTAATGTTGTCATTTGGAAGAATACACGCAAATAAGAGAACAGTTTTGTAATAAATCTAGTGTTTTGATAGCAGAGGAAAAGATGCATGTGGGCTCAAAAAAAGAATTTAGTTCCAAATTGGTGAAACACGCTGTTTCTGGAGTAAATGACTGAGCTTACAGAACTGGCAAGTTGGCTTGTATTCAGGACATGATTCATGATCAGAGACTCCTTCATGTCAGTCACAGGTTTGTGAAGTTTCTTCAGGTCAGCCTTATATTTAACCTATGTGTTAAGGGGGGAAAAAAGGAAATCACATAAATAGGAAATGGAACCACACTAATGGAAATCAAAGTGAGATAGCCCATCATCAAACAAATGCTGGAGATGGTGATGAAAAACCATACCTTCTTTACAGTAACCAGAAGGCAGAAACAACCCCAGTGTTGGTCAGCAAATGAATGGGTAAACAAAATGTGGCATATATACACCGTGGAATATTATTTAGCCATAAAAAGGAATGAAGTTTTGACATGTCCTACAACATAGATGGACCTTGAACATACTATGCTAAGTAAAATAAGCCAGACACAAAAGGACAAATGCTGTTTGATTCCATTTATGTGTACTGTCTGAAACAGGCAAATGCATAGAGACAAAAAGTAGGTTAGAGGTTCCTGGGAGCTGACAGGAGGGAATGGGGAGTTTTTGCTTAATGGTTATAGAGTTTCTGTTGGTAAAAAAACATTTTGGAAATAGTGACAGTAGTTGGATAACATTGTGAATATTATAAATGCTACTGAATTGCACACTTAAAAATAGTTAAAATGGTAAATATGTTTTACCACAATTTTAGAAACATACCTCACTTGCAAGATTATTAGCATCTTTCATGACTTTGTAGAGCTGGCTGTCCTTTGGATTGTATTTTGGTGTCTTGCCCTTTTCTTTGTCAAAATTTTCTCGGTATTTAACCTAACAGCAAATGAAAACACCCAAATTATTCCTGGATATCAGTCAATTTGGGAATTGGGGAATGGTAGAAACACAAATGCCAAAGAATATGCATTGTACGTAGAGCAATCATATAACCTATTATCCAAACTGGGACATTTAGAGTAAAGAAGACACTATTAATAATTAAGAATGACAAGACAACAGGCATTCAAATATGCAATCATGTGATATGTTTTGCATTGGCCTTGCTCACTTTTATACTATTCAGAGGTATAAAAAATAATCACCTCTTTCCAATGCAAAACAAAAATAAATGGAAAAGGCTTCAGGCTAAATTCAGAGACGTGATTTAATGTACTGGATTTGGAGCATTTTGTCACTCCTAAATAGTAAAACGAAGAGCATTTTAGGTCTACTGTAAGAAATCCAAAGAGGGGCTGTAAATGATCAAGAAGGTTCAGACGGAAGGAATCTGTTAAATTAGGAGAATTTATTGTTATTTTAAAATAGTACTTTGGATATATTATTTAAAATTTTCAAACTTGGCCCAAAATGGTATAATTTCTGAGTAAACAAAATTAGAGTTTGGGGTTAATGGCTTCAAGTGTGATTTCACACTAAAAGTAGGAAAAAAGTGAGATTTTAGAATAATGAGGAAAAATAAGATTGAATATACTTTTAGTATACATAAAAATAAGTTTAGATATGCAAAGGGCTAAATAACTCCAATTTAAAAAATAAGCACAATGCCTTGCATAAACAGTTGCTCAATAAATATGATTTGATTGAATGAAAGGAAGAGACGGTCATTATGCCAAAGTAAAATATGTAAAGCAGATGATAGCTGGGTGCAGTAGCTTACACCTGTAATCTGAGCACTTTAGGAGGCCAAGGCAGGCAGATTGTTTGAGCCCAGGAGTTTGAGACTAGCCTGGGCAACATGTCAAAATCCCATCTCCACTAAAAATAACAAAAATTAGCTGGGCATTGTGGTGCACCCCTGTAGTCCCAGCTACGCAGGAGGCTGAGGCAGGAGGATTACTTGAGCCCAGGAAGTAGAGGCTGAAATGAGTCAGGACTGCACAACTGCATTCTGCCTGGGCGACAGAGCAAACCCTGTCTCAATAAGTAAATAAATAAATAAATAAAATTTATTTCTAGAATTCAACAGAATAATGGAAAGTGACAGAAACACCCCCTAAATGAAAAACAAACCGATCCCTTTGTCAACAGTATTGTAGAATTAAGGCCAGAAGTAGAATTCTACTAGTTATTCACTCTAGGAAGAATGAAAACTGAGCTGTTTCTAGATGTTAGCCAACTAAAAGGGCAATACTTTACCCTCCAGGAATTCTAGAGTTTCTGTTATTTTGAAGATGAAAGACTCACTACAGTATCCCTCATGCATTGTCACTGCTCTTCACCTCCCCCAACTTGACACATCCAGCACAACAGACACAAAATGAGACCACTCAAATGCTAAAAACAATGAAATTTGCCACGTCAGAGAAAATGCATTCACAATGCTGAGACTCCTTTACTTTGAATAAAATCCTCAGTGGAAATGCAGAGAAAAAATAAGCATGCAGAACAGTTTGGCATGATGCAGGCACACTGAGACAGACACAAAGAAGTAAAGAAAATGTATTCTAAACAAATGCTACAATGGCTCTTCTCTGAAAAAGTTTCACTCTCAACATGAAGTGGAAGGTCTGCGAAGGAAAGTGTGAGGTATGAGCTGGTGTTTGGACCAAAGGCAACTTTTCCTAAGAGATACAGAAGTCCATAAAACTAAGAATGTTTCCAAGAGCCGTGAAACACAGAAAAACAAAGTAAACCAGATATGCAGAGTCAAAATAGGGAAGAAAAGATGCAAAAGCCCATCTCAAATGAGAATAAAATCTGCTTCTTTTAGAAGTATGCTAAAACTCCTCCTCCTATATTTAGAAGATACTTGTTTCTGAAAAAATATTTTTAAAGCAGCAATCCCATTGGTTCTACTTCAGTTTCTTTTTCTTCTGATAATTTCAAGTTAATTTCAACTTTTTAACTGAAAAAAGGTTATGGCTTCCTTCTCCATAGGAAGTCCTCTAGACAAATGCAGCTTAGTACAACTATTAATATGAATCTGAGTTCAGCACTTTTGGCCTTCCTTTTTGACTGGATCTTCTTAAAACTAGTATAATTTGAAAGGTAAGGACACGTACCAGATTCAGAACTCCAGAAATGCTTGGAACAGTATTTGACTAGCCAGTAATGTAGTAAAACTACATATACTGGCATTAAGGAATGATGAAGCTTTTTCCCATTAACCATGGAAGCCAAGAGGCAACTCTGCAATGCCATGTATCAGCAAGTGACAGCCCCCAGGGCTTATAATCCCATCAGGCTCAGATATTGGGCCTATTATGGATGTAGTATAGGAAGGTGATTTTGAATTAATTCTATTTTTAGGAGTTTATTTAAAGATCTAATTGTTCAGCTCCTTAGTGAACTGAGATTTATACTGGTGCTTCTAAAGACTGAAGAACAGTCCCAAGTATTAGAAAAGCTATTAAAAGTTTATTCTGTTGATTCATAGTAGGCCTGAACTGAGAAACTATTAAATGCCAATCTTCAGTGTATTAAAAATCAATAATGGCAGATAACTTCAGAAGAAGCAGAGGTTTCTTTGGTTGAAGATGAGATTCTTAGTTTGTTTTCATTTCATCATTTAATTTGATCAGTGTCAGCAAACTAATATACTTTGGGAGGCCATCACCATGTCTAGTCTACCTTCCTATTCCAAGTGGTATGTTCCAGATGGAAAGTTTCATGCAGGAAAAGAGGGATGTGTGCAAAAGTATATCCTTTGACAAATGTCCACAGCAATCTACACGTTCCAACACAAAATCAACAGAAAAGAGTACAGCCTGGTCAGTCCCCTGACCAATGCCAAGAAAGTAGATAAGAATCAGAGAAAGAGATAAGGGCTTGCTGGTCTCAGTCTTACATCACTGATGAGTATATTAATTTTCTTAAGATGCCTCATCATAGGGGTGTCATAAGATGCAGCGCCGTGCCCTCTCCTTTGGCCTTTCAGGTATTCCGCCTAGAGTACGCAGCAAGACAGCAAAGTCAGAACAGGGAAAGCCCACACACAGCTGAAGCTCCCTTGGGCCAGCGGCCATACTATGAAGCTGTCAATCCGGAGACCAGCCTTTCATAGGAAGTGAGCCCAGGAAGCTGAGCTCAAAAGGATCTTGTGGGGTCCCATTCTCTATCCCATAGGGTTCACTTAGGATTAGAAATAGTAGCCTCTTCATTTTCAAATCACAAAAGTTTTCAAAATTTCAATATCATAGTTGTTTCTTTGCTTTTAAATTATAATGATATGACGTATATTTAAAAACATATTTAACTTTTTGCATTAATAAGTCCTTATTACATCTCATTACTCTTAGAGAGTCCGTTGTTTGTTTTTTTGTTGTTGGTGATCTGTCTTGGTTTCAAATACTTACACAATTCCATTAATTTATAATAAAATATGTTACATATGAATTTTAAGTTTAAAAACTTTTAAAAAATAGTATTTGCTTTTCATCAGTCATCTAAACCGTTTGTGTTTTCATAATTCTAACTTGTTCTGTCACTTGACATTACTGCATTATATCTTCCAAAAGATTGGAATTTCATGTTTGGTATTGCTGAAGTCAGTCACTCACAATGACAAATTTATATCCCAAACCTGTTTCTTCAAACAAATACCTGAGAGAACAGACAAGGAAAAAGAAGGTAGGATCTGTAAACTGGAGAATATATAAGATATTCTTAAGCTAAAGTCCTATAGGATCAAACTTGTACTCTACAGATTTGGTGGTAGATGATGGGTTCTCTGAGCTAACGTCTAAAAACCTGTCATAACTTGGGGAATTTACAAGGGAAAATAATTCATGCGGTAACTGGGTTTGGACAACACATATCTGAGTCCATTTGCTTCTCAATAATATAAGATCTGCAAGAATATGGCATTCTCCATTAGCACTTGGTGTATACATTGATCAAACACTTGCCAGACCAAATTGTACATTATTTATCCATGAACACGTAGTCTGAAGACATCGGCTCATCCCTACTTCCTAGCCCAGGCTATTAATATATGTATGTTTAATGAAAACATATGAATACTTTTATCTGGTTGGATTCTAGAAGTTAGAATTTCATGACTCTTCATGTTAAATCTACCCCAGGTGACTCAAGTATGAATCAGACCGCAAGGATGCAACTCCTTTTTTTTTTTTTTTTTTTTTTTTTTTTTTTTTTTTTTTTTTTTTTTTTTTTTTTTTGAGACGGAGTTTCGCTGTTGTTGCCCCAGACTGGAGTGCAATGGCACGATCTCGTCTCACCACAACCTCTGATGCAACTCTTAAGGCCTGGGGAGAAGTTCCAGTAGGATCTCATAAGCTGATGTTTTTGTCACATAAAGATAGTTAAGCACACAAACACCCAGACAAATGCCCATAAATAGAAGAGTGGAGAACAAGAAAGGTCTAGACAGCTTAGAGGGAAACGAGAAAAGGTCCTCAGTGCACTTTTTATAACTCTTGGAAGCTTTGCATTTTCAATCTGGAAATCACTTCTTCCTGCAAGGTATGTATAATCGCACATGAGAGTCACCAGTGCACCCATCTACATTACCTGGCTACTCAGCTTGGCTGCCTTCTTGGCCATTTCTATGTCTGGGCGACCGAGCATGCTTAAGCCATGGCTGCCTTCCTTGCGGTGCTTGGCTCTGTACTCCACCTGAGTCAGAGAAAACCAAAATGGGCAATAGGTGATGGGTGCCCGGCATGCCTTGGCAGTGGCCATTGGGGACTGGGGACATTTTAATGATACCCTTACCTCACTGGCTTGTTTGGCTGCCTGTGTGGCCTTCTTGATGTCTGGTCGATCGGCCACTGTGGTGTAATGCAGGTTCTCTTTGGCATCTTTTCTGTAAGCAACCTTTATTGGGGAAGAAAATGTTTACTCAAGAGATACACTATCTTTCCAAAAGTCCCCATTAAGTGCAATCAGCTTTTTTCTTTAAACCCAACCCACTTCTCACCACTAACTTTCTGAAACTACCACCTGGAGGAATTAGGGTGACCATACACTGGAACAAGAGAACACACCAATTTGGGATCCACTGCTTCAAGTGGGCCCCTGAGAATGCCTAGAGGGAAACTTACATTACTTTGCTTCTTGGCCACTTCCATAGCATGTTTCACCTCTGGTGGCTCCAGCATGATGGAGTAGTTGGATTTTCCTTTCTCCTTGACAAACTTCTTTTTGTAATTTGTCTAAACAAAGCCAGAATTACTTCTATGAGCAGAGGAAGCTGGGAACAGAGTTGGTTTACTTGAAGAACTGTGAAATCTCCAGGAAAATCCATGCTCCTTTTTTTGGCATCAGTCTGGGACTTAGATCTCTGACCCATATTCTATTTGTTTTCTGTCATTTGTGTCCTGCAGCCCAACACTAGAACCGCCTGCAATCTTTGGAGAACTGGGTACAGGCAAATTAAGCTCCTTTATTTACCATTTCTACCTTTTAAAAATATATGGGACCATATGGGACTCATGTAATACCAAGGTTACTACAGCATTATTAATAAGGATAGAGTGGGCAGAGATTACTGAGGCCCAAAGAGGTGGTTTTACCTTTCTAGAATTGGGTAGCAGTTTAATAATAGGAGAGGCCACTCCTAATCAGCAATGTTTCCTCTTCTTCTTAATAGGTTAGTAGCATCTGATATGGCTAGATTACAAGTCCTGTAGCAAAACCTGCATTTGCCGTAATTGCCAGAAATTGAAAGCCAAGGAATCCTGGGTCATTTTAAAAATCAGAGTTTAAGATTCACATGTAGATATTGATGGTAAGAGTGAAGCTACATAAAGGAAGCAAAACGCAGCTGACAATATTTCACCCGATTCTATGGTCAAGTGGCATTGTTGCTGCCAAGAGACCTGCAGTTGATCACTTACATCACTGACATGCTTGGTCACTTCCTTGACGTGAACAGTGTCCCGGGTCTCTGGTAGTGTTGTGTATGACCCCTGGGCCAAGTGCTTCTTGACATGGTCCTTGTACTTGTTCTGGGGGAATCCACAGAGAGCTTGTTAAGGCATCTGCCTAGGGAGTTCTTCCAAGAGGGAAGCAGAGCTCATAGGCGGCTGGGGGGTTACCTCGGACACCAGGTTGCTGACAGTCTTCGCCAGCAGGATTTGAGGCGTGTCAGGTACAGCCTGGCAAGTTCCTCTTTCCTTGACATGTTTTTCTTTGTATTTCAGCTGCAGGAGTAGGAAAAAGGGCATTTCTTTAGCTTCTCTGGGTATCCTACATATTTTTATTATACCCCCAAACCACTAGAACAGCATCATTGACAAATAATACTAAACTCAATAAAAGATTTGATGCTGGCAAATCCTGGGAAATATTCAAGAGGGTTTTTTCCTTATCTCTAGCAAGTTGCAGTTTTAATAACAAAGTAGATCTCATGATGAATCTTTATACAGTCAGACTTATGTTCACAGCATTCTCAGATACACCCTTTAACCCTCCCATAGGCCCTGGGAGGCATTATTATTCCTTTTTTACAGATAAGGAAACTGTAGCCAACGGAAAGTATGATCCCATAGAAAACAAATCATGGAGTTTCCATAAAGAATCCAGCCAGGCCTTCAGGGTCCTAATTCCTGCTGTGTGAACTCTCTGGTGGTGCAGTATAAATCGAGGACTGTCACCTGGATTTAATGGCTCTTGCACTGCTGCTGCCCTGCTTGACCGCTGGTGTAAATCGCAGGATAGACCACATATCAGGACCCATACCTGAGCCCTGATGGAAGCAGCTCTTCTCCATTCTTCCCTGGGTGTCCCTGGGGACTGTACCATAGAACACGGCGCTGAGTGAGATTCGGCATCATGGAAGCAACTAGATACTCACATCACTTTCTATTAAAGTATTCCTGAGGGCCAGCACTGTGTTTTTGTCATCAGTGACAGAAAGCTTGCAACCCTTGAGGAACTCCCGGTCCAGCTTATATTCAAACTGTTAGAGAAGAAAGACAGAAGGAAAGGGAAGGGTCACAGCACAGGAGGAAGCTGGGTGTTTGATTAAACCCACAGGGAGTCCTTTTAAGGAGAGGACAAAGACTTGTTACCAGAATGAGGGGAAGGGCTTCTTGGTCCCTCACTGCATTTTAGGTTCCTCCTTTCCAGCCCAGCTGCCAGGACCAAGCCCCTCCATCCCCAGTCTTCCCCCAGATTCCCCCCCAGCCCCAGTCAGAACTTGGAGCCGTTTGTGTCCAGGCCCAGCCATAGGAGAATAGGGTCTATGGCCACGTTTGGGTACTGAGCTTGCCTACTGCTCCCCCAACCATCCTCCTCTCCTCGGATCTCAAATAAGCAAGGGTTAACACCCATGACAGTGGTTATTATAAATTATTATTCATTGTATTTCTCAGGTGCAGCATGTAGTTACGATCATCTGTCTCTCCTGTCTTACATCACTTTGCTGCAGGGATGACTTGGCAGCCTGGAGGAAGTCTGGTCGGTCAGGGGTCCACCTCCAGTGGGCTTTGTTGGCTTCATACTGTTTCTTATAGTCCAGCTGTTTTTAACAGGAGAGAAAGAAATCACTTGATTCATTAGGCTAAATTCATAAATACACACATGGCACAGAGGGGCTCCTGCATTTTAAAATATCTCAAATCATGATTCCTAATGCAAGAGGGAGCCCTAATTAAAATTTCTGTGCAATTTATGCAGCTAATCATCCACTCAGAGGTCATCTGTTGGGACCTTGTGGTCCAAAAATAGAGGCTAAAAATTTTTAAGGCCTCCAGGTGAAATGATTCTACAGTCTCTCTAGCTCTGCCAGTTCAGCCTAATCATCTTCAGAATCGATTACTTTTAATTTCTAACTAAATTCAGATTTAATTTTTAACAAAAATGATCAAACACTAGATATTTATTTTGTGCCAGGCACTTTTCTAAGTTTTTTACAAATTGCAAAATTAATTAAATGAATTACAAAATTTTATAAAATTAATTCACCTAATCTTCCTAACAATTGCATGAAATAGACAGCTGAAGAACTGGATAGAATGGTTAAGTAAACTTCTCAAGGCGAGACTATTAGCAATTGGTGGAGCTGGAATTTAAACCCAGGCAGTCTGGCCTCAGAGGTGCTTGCCTGCTTCCTAGACTCTTCAGGGCTGGAGAACTGGCTGCCTTGGGCCAAATCTGAGCCACAGACATGTATGTAATTTAATTTGAGTGTCCTTTGGAGGGCCCTACACTATCAAGCACATTTTTTTCCTCATCCTTTCTCTTTTTTAAATTGAGGTACAATTTATACACAATATAATGCACATGCTTTTATGTATACTATTTTATAAAGTTTTTTTCCCTTTTTTTATTGTGAAAAATTTCAAATATACAAAAAAGTTGCAAGAATATTACAGAAAATACCCATACAATCTGGATTTTGCAAGGTACATTTTACTGTATTTGCTTTATCTCACGTCTGTGCTATCACTGTACCCTCAATCCATCCTCAGGATACCTGCAAGCTCCTTGCCAGCTCCTACAGGCATTCCAGTTTGCAAGCCCTCAAAAACATATGTCCCCCCTGGCACTAGTGAGTACTAATTGGGTTATAATGGTTTCATTGTATAACCATTTAATGTATTTTTAAGAAGCTGGTGCTCATCTAAATGCACAAAATTATTTCTATAGTTGAGGCCTTAAGATGCCACACCCAGGAAAAGAGTCAATTCAGGGAATATCTGAGCAGGAAGACGGTCTAGGCCAATGCCTGATGGCACCAAATGGCTCAACATTTTCTTTGTCAGATGAAGCAGATTGTAGCTTGAGACAGGAGAGCACAGGGGAAGAGAATGAAAAATGCTGAGGCACATTCCAAAAATGCAACCTACATTTCAGAATTCAATGTCCCATTTCTCAGCCACCCACCACAAGGACTGAGTGAGTGTAGCATCCATGGCATGGGATGAGGCCACCCTTGCTCTCCCCCATGCTCCTTTGTGAGGACCAAGGCAGGATTTATATTTTAGCATCATTGTTCATGCTCCTGGGGCCTGACTCTTGCTTTGGAATCAATCACTAGAGCTCAGTTGCCTGAAGAGACGTAAAAAGAGGCCATGTGTCCTTCAGAAGCCAGTAAATCCCCCACCATGCCTGGGGAAGTTTCTGGAACTTACGTTGGTGTTGACTTTGTAGGCGTCCTTGGCTGCTTTGATATGAACAGCATCTGGCTCAATGGTGCAGTTGGATTTATTTCTTTGGTATACTTCCTTGTATTTCAGCTGTGGGAGGAAAGCCAGTGACAAGATTAATTTTTTTTATAGCAGCATACTGAGCATCTTAAAAAACAAGAAATTAAATCCATGCATGACTACAGTATACAATGCTCCTTAAGACAGAATTTTAAAAATTTGCTATGGAGCAAGGATATAGCCATGCAGAAATGCACCTTTCTATCTCAGATCAGGGCACACTGGCTATGGTCACTAGTGTTGCCATATCTTTTTTTTTTTTTTTTTTTT